AGTACGTCACTTTTTGTGAGTCGATTTCATTTCAAATTACGTCCAAATTTGGCCATAGTGCGCATACGAGCCAAAAGTGACGTTATTTTTAAGAGGACGGGTTGCTCAACTAACAAAGTCCGAATGTCAGGGCTTAGGAGCAGATGCTCGACCCTGTGAGTTCAGCCAGGTGAGTCCACCCACCGCCACCCACCCACCCCCTAACATCTGGCGAGGGGTGTGCGCCAGAGGCCCCGCCACGCGTAGATACGCACGCCTGGTTGACGGCGGGTTCCGGCCACTGTTTGGACAGAAGGCGCCCGATAAATTCTCCCGTGGGAACCAGCAGCAGGCTTTGTTAGTGTGGGGGAGAGGCACGAGGGGAAATGATGGAGCAGAGGCAGGGGGAGATAGTAAGGAGGAGAGGCAGGGATAGATATGGAGGGGGAGGAGGAGAGGTAGTGATTAGGACGAGAGAGAGGATAATGAGAGGAAACGAGGAAGAGACGAAGGGGAGAGAGAGTAAGGAAATAGTTGGCAAAGAAGATTGAAGTAAAAGGACAAATATGGAAGAGGAAGATGAGAAAGTAGACGTGAAGGAAAAATGTAGTAGAAAGTAGTAAACAGTAGAAAAATGAGAGAGTCATCTGATGGTATATGAACAAAATGGCAGAACAAATAGGTGAATGAAACAAGGAAGAGAGAGAGGAAGAGAGAGAGAATAGCGGAGACAGGAAGAAGAGACGTAGGGGGGGGGGGGATTAAAATGAAACCTTGCCAGTCAAAATTACATTTTTTGTTTACATTGTCTAGACAATAATATTGTCCAGGAAAAACATAATCTATGGCTTTCAATTCGGGTTTATTTCCCCATTGTCGGGAACAGGAAACGCGTTAGGCTTATCCAGACCCAACTAGGTCAACAGCTGACTTTTTCCCAGGATGCAACCCACAACAGTGGCCTAGCTCTTGGGTACCGATTTTACTGGTAGGTGAACAGAGGTATCAGGTGCTAATGCCTAAGCTTCCCCATGACCACAATAGTTCCTTAACTAGTGCCTATATTCATTGCTAGGTGAGCAGGTGCATCAGATGAAAGGAAACAGACAATTCATCTTTGTTCTGCCGGAAAACTGTAAAAAGAAAGTGAGAGAATAAGAGTTAGACATGAGGAGGGAAGTGTCCTCACAGCTAAGACATGAGAAAGGAAGGGTACTCACAGCTAAGACATGAGGAAGGAAGGGTCCTCACAGCTAAGACATGAGGAAGGAAGGGTCCTCACAACTAAGACATGAGGAAGGAAGGGTCCTCACAACTAAGACATGAGGAGTTGTCGTCACAGCTAAGACAAGAGGAAGTGTCGTCACAGCTAAGACATGAGGAAGTGTCGTCACAACTAAGACATGAGGAAGTGTCGTCACGGCTAAGACATGAGGAAGGAAGGGTCCTCACAGCTAAGACATGAGGAAGTGTCGTCACAGCTAAGACAAGAGGAAGTGTCGTCACAGCTAAGACATGAGGAAGTGTCGTCACAGCTAAGACAAGAGGAAGTGTCGTCACAGCTAAGACAAGAGGAAGTGTCGTCACAGCTAAGACAAGAGGAAGTGTCGTCACAGCTAAGACATGAGGAAGTGTCGTCACAGCTAAGACATGAGGAAGGAAGTGTCGTCACAGCTAAAACATGAGGAAGTGTCGTCACAGCTAAGACATGAGGAAGGAAGGGCCCTCACAGCTAAGACATGAGGAAGTGTCGTCACAGCTAAGACATGAGGAAGTGTCGTCACAGCTAAGACAAGAGGAAGTGTCGTCACAGCTAAGACATGAGGAAGTGTCGTCACAGCTAAGACAAGAGGAAGTGTCGTCACAGCTAAGACATGAGGAAGTGTCGTCACAGCTAAGACAAGAGGAAGTGTCGTCACAGCTAAGACATGAGGAAGTGTCGTCACAGCTAAGACATGAGGAAGTGTTCTCACAACTAAAACATGTGAGCCAAGACGGTGGCAGGAAGCATCTCCTGGCCGCCTCCTGGTGCATTATGAGGGTATCAGGGGGGAGATAAGGTGAGTCTGGCGGGGGTGAGGTGTTCCGGGGGGAGGGTCGCGGGGTGTCTACTCACCTATGTGTACTCACCTAGTTGTGCTTGCGGAGGTTGAGCTTTGGCTCTTTGGTTCCCGCCTTTCAACCGTCAATCAACTGATGTACAGATTCCTGAGCCTACTGGGCTCTATCATATCTACACTTGAAACTGTGTATGGAGTCAGCCTCCACCACATCACTTCCTAATGCATTCCATTTGGCTACTACTCTGACACTAAAAAACTCTTTCTAATGACTTTATGGCTCATTTGGGCACTTAATTTCCACCTATGTCCCCAAGTGCATATGCCCCTTGTTTTAAATAAACTGTCTTTGTCTATCCTATCAATTCCTTGGAGGATCTTGTATGTGGTGATCATGTCCCCCTAACTCTACTGTCTTCCAGCAAAGTGAGGTTTAATTCCCGTAGTCTCTTCTCGTAGCTCATACCCCTCAGTTCGGGCACTAGTCTGGTGGTAAACCTCTTAACCTTCTCCAATTTAGTTTTATGCTTGACTAGATATGGACTCCATGCTGGAGCTACATACTCCAGGATTGGTCTGACATACGTGGTATACAAGATTCTGAATGATTCCTTACACAAGTTTCTAAAGGCCGTTTTCATGTTAGCCAACCTGGCATATGCCGCTGATGTTATCCTCTTGATATAAACTTCATGGGACAGGTCTGGCGTGATATCAACCAACAGGTCGTTCTCTCTGATTCTAGAAGAATTTTACCTCCCAAATGGTACCTTGTATCTGACCTCCTGGTCTACACCTATCTTCATTTCATTACATTTTCTAGAGTTAAACTCTAACAACTATATGTTGCACCATTCCTCCAGTTTGTGCAGGTCATGAAGCCTCAAGCAGTCCACCACTGTCTTAATCCATCTCATAATTTTGGCATCGTCAGCAAACATTGAGAGGAATGAGTCTATACCCTCTGGGAGATCATTTACGTATATCAGAAACAGGATAGGTCCGGGTACAGAGCCCTGTGGGACTCCACCGGTGACTTCACGCCAATCTGAGGTCTCACCCCTCACTGTAACTCTCTGCTTCCTATTGTTAAAGTACTCCCTTATCCCCTGGAGCACTTTACCAGTTTCTCCAGCTTATGCACCAACCTCTTATGAGGTAAGAGGCTCTTATGTGTGTGTTCGGGGGGGGGGGGTGGTGGGGTGGGGGGGGTGGTGGTGGGGGAGGGGGGGGGGAGGATGATTGTTGCAGCTAGTTTACTAAGCAACAATCCTGGAATATGCATCGCCTGCAAGCGATACATATTCGGTTGCAGGCGAGTCTCAAAGCATTCCCAAAGCACACAACCAGAATTGAAAAAGTTAAAAGGTTTGCAATAAGATAAATATGTAGTAGATATAATAACATAAAAGTAGGTCTAAGAGTCGATACATTAGACAACCGACGACTAGGAAATTGGGGCCCAGGAGCTAACACCTCGATCCTGCAGGTCCGAGTAGTAAATACACATACGAACACTCACATGTGCTGGAGACATTGGACCATGTTCATTGTTCTTGCGTGCCATTCTTATAAGAACAAAAGAGTAATTAGAATCTCAGAAGGCCTATATAGCCAATACGAGGACACTTATATATATATATATATATTATATATATATATATATATATATATATATATATATATATATATATATATATATATATATATATATATATATATATTCATGAACACATTATTATAAAATTTAAATATTATATGTCCCTCTGCCGTGACCAGGATTCGAACCTGGGTTATTGCGGCCACAACGCAATGTACTAACCACTATACGATCACGGCCACCGTGGTATACCGCATATTTGCATGATAGATTAATATACTTTACATAAATTAGAATGTTTAAATGTTCAGAATATATTTAAATGTATATAACGTTTAACTATACTTAAAGGTATTAAGCTGTATATTTGTATGCATTACTTTAGTTAAACAAGACGGCATCTTATGAATTATATCCGAGGATGAAGAGTTACAGGTCACGTGACTATGTAACTAATGGGCGGAGATTTAAAATATCACGCGTTACCAAGGTGATCCCTGATTGGTTACGTTACCTTGCCGGCTTAACATAACGGAGCGGAAACTCCGTTTTCGGAAAAGCTAGTAGAGCTTTTGCCTCTAGGGAGGCTTTTAACAGTATGGAACTAAAGAGCATCGGCACGCTCTGTGTGAAGTGAGGTCACCAAAACATCTTTTGTTCACTATATAGAGAGAACTTTAGAATATGTTAAAGTTAGTTAATATATTTTACAATAAGATATTTTAAGTTACACAACAACGAATAAAATACACTAATTCAACAATTGTACAAATATATTTAATGAAATTCCTAAATAACACAGTTGATGACATCAATATAGCAATATATATAAACAAACATCAGTATAGCAGTGTATATATATATATATATAACAAATTTTGGTTAAAAGTTCACCTAATAAGTGCTATAGGTAGGTGTACAAACTCCTTTGTAAATCTTATAATAAGCTTTACTTTGGGCAAACTGGCACTCACCTAGACAAGATAACAACTTCACATAAATATGATATTTAAACAGGTGATAATTCATATGCATTATTAACTCATTTGTGAGATTCAAAACATACAATTGACTTAATACAAAATTGAAGATTAATTCTATTATGACAAGACATGAAATGTAATCTTTGTTTTATTATTTGTGAGTTTTGAAATATAAATTATAGCCCAGGATTATATAAACCACTGCTGGTGTCATGTCACCCACTGTTGGTGTAATGTCACCCACTGTTGGTGGCATGTCACCCACTGTTGGTGTAATGTCACCCACTGATGGAGGACATGTCACCACTGATGGAGTCATGTTACCCACTGATGGAGACATGTAACCCACTGATGGGGACATGTTACCCACTGATGGAGTCAGGTTACCCACTGATGGGGACATGTCACCACTGATGGAGTCATGTTACCCACTGATGGAGTCATGTTACCCACTGATGGGGACATGTCACCCACTGATGGAGTCATGTCACCCACTGATGGTGTCATGTCACCACTGTTGGTGGTAATGTCACCCACTGCTGGTGTCATGTCACCCACTGTTGGTGTAATGTCACCCACTGTTGGTGGCATGTCACCCACTGTTGGTGTAATGTCACCCACTGCTGGTGTCATGTCACCCACTGTTGGTGTAATGTCACCCACTGTTGGTGGCATGTCACCCACTGTTGGTGTAATGTCACCCACTGCTGGTGTCATGTCACCCACTGTTGGTGTAATGTCACCCACTGTTGGTGTAATGTCACCCACAGTTGGTGTAATGTCACCCACTGCTGGTGGCATGTCACCCACTGCTGGTGTCATGTCACCCACTGCTGGAGTCATGTCACCCACTGCTGGTGTCATGTCACCCACTGCTGGAGTCATGTCACCCACTGCTGGTGTCATGTCACCCACTGATGGTGGCATGTTTGTAACACCGCTCTTTTGTACCACTACTAAAATGCACCACTATAATGGAACACTAAACTAATAATGTTAACACTACTTATCCTGAGTAAAACTTCCTCATCGGTTGCACTTGATAACACTGTTATGAAACACGGTAATGTGAGCTGATATATGATGGTTACACCGGAACCAAAGGTACACTGCCAATAAGGAAATGCTAACACAAGGATTAAATACGCTGCCACCATCTGCCTTTGACCATTGAAACTATATCAAGCAACGAGGCAAGAAACATTGCTTGACTTCGAGAGTACTTTCTATAACTGTCATTAGTTAGGGAAACGGTTGTCAGCCACTATATCCAAAAGGCTAAGAGGATTCAACAATTGACACAGACGGGAAATTTAACATGAGTTTTATTGAGACCAAAATTATGTCAATCACCACTTCGAAATCCTACTCTAACACTGGCAAAAAGTTAAGAAATTTGGACATGGAACAAAACCTCAGAGATCACACACATTACCTTATGATATCTGTCTCTCCCTGGCTGAGATGTTCTTCACAGCCCTCTCTGGACCCCGGTGTCCGGCACTCTCCGTTTCCTAAGTCCCTACAGGCCCTCTATATACAACCCCCACAGGGGGAGGGGGAGATCTGCTGTTGCTACCCACCAAGAATGTACAAACACTCAAGAAATATTTCAATAAGCTTGTTTGACATTCACCATACACTCTTCAAGAGAGGAGTTATTAATTACGTGTGTGACTGACCTCTGACCTGGCCAAAAAGGGGAGATCCAGGGATGTTTACACATAAGAGTCTGGAGTCTAATTCCCTTGCATGAAATATTACATACTTGAAACTATGCTGACTAAGACTAAAGAGCGGTGTTACAACATGTGTGTAGTGGGTACTGTGTGGGAGCATGTGTGTAGTGGGTACTGTGTGGGAGCATGTGTGTAGTGGTAGATGTGGTCTTGGGAATTTTATGGCACTGGTCGGAGGCTTCATGTGTTACGGCGCTTCTCTTACTCAATTTATCTAGCAAAATGAAACCTTGTAAGACTGACACGACTCATAGCTAAGTGACGTAAATCAACCAGAGGAGAGAGGATGAAATACACAGCAATCGTCCCATGTCAAAAGCACTGAACACCGTCGAGGCGGGACCAAAGAGCAGGAGGTCAACCCCCACAAGCACAACTAGGTGAATACCACACCGTCTACAGGTAGTCAAGACCTCCGGGAACATAGATCAAGGAGCTTCTTGTAGACCAGTTCCAGGGCTCCTCTGCTCCAGCCACAGACAGGCTGGGTAACAAAGAACCTTGTAATAAAGACACTGAACCAATAATGGTACTTTTTGACACTAGTGATCTCAATCTTAATCAATACCCTGATGATTGAAATAAAATTTATTAAATGCATCCCATCATTGCATGTATGTGTGTGTGTGTGTGTGTGTGTGTGTGTGTGTGTGTGTGTGTGTGTGTGTGTGTGTGTGTACTCATCTTGTTGTGATTGCGGGGGTTGAGCTCTGGCTCCTTGGTCCCGCCTCTCAACTGTCAATCTACTGATGCACAGATTACTGAGCCTACTGGGCTCTATCATATCTACATTTAAAACTGTGTATGGAGTCAGCCTCCACCACGTCACTGCTTAATGAAGTCCATCTGTTAATTAATTACACTGACACTGAAAAAGTTCTTTTTAACGTTCCTGTGGCTCATGTGGGTACTCAGTTTCCACCTGTGTCCCCTTGTTCGCGTACCACCAGTGTTAAACACTGTATCCTTGTGTACCCTGTCAATTCCTCTGAGAATTTTGTAGGTAGTGATCATGTCTCCCCTTTCTCTTCTGTCTTTCAGCGTCGTGAGGCGCATTTCCCGCAGCCTTTCCTCATAACTCATGCCTCTCAGTTCTGGGACTAGCCTAGTGGCATACCTCTGACCTTTTTCAAGCTTCGTCTTTTGCTTGACAAAGTATGGGCTCCATGCTGGGGCCGCATACTCCAGGATTGGTCTTACATATGTGGTATACAAGGTCCTGAAAGATTCCTTACACAGGTTCCTGAAGGCTGTTCTGATGTTAGCCAGCCTCGCATATACCGCAGATGTTATTCTTTTTATGTGGGCTTCAGGAGACAGGTTTGGTGTGATATCAACTACTAGATCTTTCTCTCTGTCAGTTTCATGGACTATCTCTCCCATTCGGTATCCTGTGTCCGGCCTCCTGTTTGCACTGCCTAGTTTCATTACTTTACATTTACTCGGGTTGAACTTTAGTAGCTATTTGATGGACCATTCGTTCAGTTTGTCTAGGTCATCTTGTAGCCTCAAACTATCTTCCTCTGTCTTAATCCTCCGCATAATTTTAAACACTGATCATTTTATGCGGAAAATCCACAGGGAAATATGAAAGGAAATGAACGTTTCGGCTCTGTTAAAGCATTTGTCAACACCAGACTGACGAGGTCAGTCTGGTGTTGACAAAGGCTTTAACAAAGCCGAAACGTTCACCTCCTTTCATATATCTCTGTGGATTTTCCGCAAATATATATATATATATATATATATATATATATATATATATATATATATATATATATATATATATATATATATATATATATATATATAT